GGAGTTTTCTGTCACTTTACACACCTCCGCTGTCCATGAATAACACACCATATCAGTTTCCATTACCTCTACACATTAAGGGACTTTTCCTCAAGGTTTTTCTATTGCAGCTTATTCATGCCGACAGCTTGACACTGAGTGTGGGCTTGTGTGCATTTGAAGTGACTTTATGGATTGTGACCTCACAGCCATTTTGCTTAAATGCCTCTCAAGACTGCTGTTTTGATTGTTCAATTTAAGTTATATCAAGGAAACTTTTTTTTGTTTTGTTTTTTCTCTCATTGCTGGAGTTTTGGTATTTGTCTAGAAATGGGTTCCACTTTAAATTTAATACAATGAAGCATATTAGAATGGGGCAACAGAGCAACTTGGCATTGTGTTCATTTTGGGAGTCTATTGCAAGTACTATTTCCAAACCTCATTACATATAGGCCTACTTGCGCTATTTTGTTGCCTATGGGCCCCATTCAAATCCCTGCCTTCATAATATTTTTCAAATGAGAATTACATTTCATTTCTTTCCCTCCTCTGATGTGTTTATGTTATCATTTGTAAATCTTACTCAAAGTGCAGCGAGAGGCACAAGAGGGCTCACTCATACACAGTTTTAACGAAGTATTTACAGATAATTCTAACTGTCAAATACTTGTGCCCAATGACACAGTGCAGAGAGCAGCCCTCCCTGGTGTGTCCAGCCAGCAGGGTTTGATTTCAGGTAAGAACCTATTGGAGAGAGAGAGGGAGAAAGGAGGGGGCGAGTGAGCATGAGGCTGACCCAGTGCCAGTGTGTGAGGGCCAAGCAAAAGACTCAAGTAAGTGATCTGATATAAGGGTTTTTCAAACGGAGGTAGAGCTTTCACTGATGCTGCATAAAGAGTCAAAAATAAATAAAAGAACAACAATATGGCTAAAGGACTGAGGAATCCCAGACCTCAGTGCAATTCCTTTGTTTTTCAAGTTTAAAAAAAAAAACTATTTTTATTTATTTACTAAAAAATAGCAACAAATTCATACATTGTGAAATATTGGAATGATTAGGCTACTATTTTTGTGCAGGGTGGGACAAGTAAAATCAACTCACAATTTGACACAAGTGCCTTTATGTAATTTTTAAATCTGAGTTGCAGCTTCAAAGACTGAATGAAGAGATGCACAGACAGAACATTAGTGTAACAGTCCCTTTCTCTAAACCACCTGCTGGCTTGGAGGATAGAAGATCTATTTATACTCCTATTTCTCTAGGCTATTTATTTCACTGACTTATGTAACGCATGTCTATTTCCTTTGTGTTGAATATTTTAAATTAAATGACCCCAAATGTGTAATGATTATTTCTCAAAACGGGATGAATGCTTTATCTAAGTTTCTATTCTCTGAAAGGCTTTGTATTTTTTTTTAAATAAATAAATGATGACGTAAAACAAAATTGTCACTTATTGATTGCGTAAAGGTTTCTTAATACGACTTATTTTTCTATTAGGCTTTTAGACTTAACTTTTTGAGAGAACATTTCATCGTGGCATTAGTGATTTCAAGGTGGCATTACTGATTGTATGGGAATTCGTAAAGAGACCCCGGAACAAATGTGTGAAGCGGCAATAATGGACTCGCGAGTCGTGACCTGTGCATGGAAGCAATTTAGAGAAATACGTTTCAGAGTGCGCTAAAAAGACAAATTAATCCTGAACGGAAACGAGATACATCCTTTAAAAACAAGCCATTTGCGCACTTTCGACTCTGCACAGAGCCACAGCGGAGCATTAGCGGCACTTTTAAAGCCAGTGCATGAATGAAAGGGGTTCTACATGTGGGTCCAATGTTGACTATAGGCCTACCCAATCAGGAAAACCACAAACAAAAACCTGCACAAGGTGATCTGTATTTATACGAAGAAGGTTTGTTTAATAGAGTGTTTTAGTCTCAGGCGTCTGTTGTTCGTTAGGCATTCGTTACTTTCACTTCTAATTAACCGTGATTCTACACATGAGAGCCAGGTTTATTAGAAACATAAACCACGCTCACAACTCACGTAAAATCAGTAATAATCGGATAGTAATAATAATAATAATAATAATAATAATAATAATAATTCTTTTGTCGTCATAAAAACAAGAACGCGGATTATTTTATTCTGCAAAGCAAATTTTTTCCAGCACTCAGGTCTGCAGTCCTGCAATGCTGCAAATATTTTTCTCTAATATTTACTCTGCTGTACAAGACCAACGGACTTCACCAATAAGGAATAGAAAGCATAGAGAGTAGGAGAGTGTAGGATAAAGGCCTATTGGTCATCCTGTATTTGGCCCTATATGATCATGTTTTCTATTTATAAAAGTCGTTTTTTTGTTTTATTTTGTTGTTGTTGTTTTTTTCATTAATGAGAAACAGTAGGTCACTAAATGCCAGTGACATTTTTAAGAACATTACTTTGTGTCTTTGGCCTTGTCGAGCTTGTCTGCTCGTCTTCACCACACAGCTGCGCTGTTTGCACAAACCATTCACTCTGACATGACACGACATTCAGACAAGTCAAATATGAAGTTGGCTAAATTCCTGTGTGCACGGATAAATAGACATTAGGGTCAAATGCATTTGTATTAGGATAATAGATCCTTATTTGCCACGTGGGTGTAAAGGTTTAAAATAAAAATGCAAGTAAAATATTGTATTTATTATTGTTTGGTGTTTTGAGCTAAGCCAGATGAGTTCTTGTCTAAATGACTGTGCTGACTTCTTGAATTTGAAATGAATTTTGTGTCGGAGGTGTGCTCTGTTTTAACTCATGAGATCGCTTTTTATAAACTGGTCTTCGCCCTGCATGTGAAATAAATAAAAGCATGTTATTCTTTTGCTCATTTCATGTTAAAACGGAGGGGGTGGGTCACATGGGTGTAAGAGGGGAGGGTGAGATTTTACTCCCATGAGATACCTGTCTAACTTCTATCAAGTAGGCTTTGTGCTCTCATCAGTATCCTGACCCACGGTAGTTTGGGCCACTGCACAGATCCGCGTGCTCCGTAGAAAAGAAAACAAGTTGAGGTCGAGAGCAGCAGAAGGAAGGTTTAAGTGATGCCCCGCCGCGCTTCAATTATTTACCGCTCTGTGCGCTTTTCTCTAATGCGTAATGGGGTGAAATGCGCCTATTTCACAGAAAAGCCAACAGTTTGGCTGCAACAATAGAGTTATACAATTGTATTGCAAATATACAACAATTCTGGGGTTATTAATATGGGTGCATTATTTAAAAAATAATAATAATAAAAAAATAGGCATTTACATTGTGGGAAAATTATCCATGCGTTATTGAAAACAAATTATGCATGAGAACCACATTTAATCTTATTTATTAATCTTATTTTCTAATTATATATACTAGTATAACCAGTTTTTATTATATCAATTTATACTCTATCTATGAAATAATTTAAATTTAGTTCATTAAACAAATTTTCAGTAAAAGTAGCCTGTAGGCCTATAGCTCTCATGGACTGTTGCCACTTCCATGGTGTTCGCATAACATTGCATTTTAAACAATGTATTATGGTGCAAACAATTTGACATTTTTACATGTTCATCGCCCATGCATCGTCCATAAAATAGAATAAAAACTCCATAGGCCTACTTCATTTTTATGCTTTGTTTTGTACCATTTGATCGGAGTCTGCTCTTGACAGACAAAATAATAATAAACAAGAGAGTAATATAACAAAAAACAAGCTTCTTAGTGCGCCCCAGTGAGCTAAAAGCGCAGCCGGGCGCTCCCCGGGATCACTGCATCCACACAAACATCCTCCTCTTCCGCATGGTGCCACAGCGGGCTGGGTGCTGTCCTGTGTCCGTCTGACCCGATGAAGGATGCTGCTGTGGCACATGGAGACGCTGTGCGCTACGCGCAATGGGACATTCCGCGCGCATTAAATGTCCCCGTGACACAGAGTTACAGTGAAAATGCTGCAGATGTTGAGTAGATGTTGAAACCATGTGGCTTCGTGTGAGTTGCTCAATTAACAAGAGCACGCTCTCACGAGAATGACAGCACGATTTTATCTTATGTTTGTCGAACAAGACTCAATTTAATCAATTTAGTATTAATGCCCGTTTAAGAGAAAAGAAGAGATAATGATTGACACTTTTTAGGATTTTAGGCCTACGTTAGGCCTGAAAAGTATAACCGTGGAAAAGATGTTAAAGTAAAGTCTACCCAAAACGTCAGAGTGAATTATGAATTAAATAGGCTATTGAAGTAAAAAATAAAATAATAGTAATAATAGCCGAGTCATTATGTATTTCTCTTTAAGGCAGCATGGTGACATCTCTCTGTCACTCTCCTAGTTAATTATTACATGAAATCATCGCACAGCGCTGCTGCTGTGCACTGGACATCTTCAGCGCGCTCCTATTATTAGTATTAGGCTATTCATTAACGCACATCAGGGCATGGACTTCAGCTCAATACATTTTATCTATGCAATGATACTGACAAGTGTGAAACTATTAGAATGAGATAAAGACGTGATAAGTTAGTGCTGCGCCTGCCAGAAAGTCTCTGATGGCCAGAAAGTTACAAGAGAGTGACTACTTTATATGTCAAGGTCTCAGCAACAGTTACAGCAGAGGGTGGCATTCGCTCTCTAACCAGGTCAGAAAACTACAGACCAAAAACTGTGCAAAAGGCGCCTCGTCAAAACTAAGACGCACAATATCCATAACTGACACTAAACCCATATTCCATCACAAGTCCACAAATATTGCTGGCACTGTTGGCACAACCCTAAGGTTGAAAAGCTTCGACTACAACATTTACGCACAGATGCAGTGCCTTCAACCAGTTGTCCCTAAATCCACGAATGTATTCCTTCCACAGGGCATTTCATATCACTATGCGCGCTCTGTGCGTAAGCTCCTGCCCACTAAATGTGTCATATTAGTTTCCCAACGCCCCCTTCCTCCCTCCTTCGCTTCCTTCCTCCAGTCTTTGTCTCTCCTCCCTCTATCAGTCAGCCAGTGCGCCCGTTGGCACGGGCGAGATTGAAAGTGACACGCTCTGATTACAACCTAATCATTTAGCTCCGACAGAACTTTCTTTATCGGCACAACACTGCCCGCTTCTCAGTCCCGATTTGGTTTTACGCGCCGGTTTTTCACTTTTGTTTGGTATAGTTCTCGCCACGGTTCCGTTCTACTCAGAACAGCTTTGTTTCCACAGACGATGAGACCATAAGCTCCACGGGAAAGAAGACTCGGTGATAAGAAGGAAAAGTTGCGCGTAAAGTTACTCAGGACACATCACGGGACACTCTTAGTTTACCATCGGCGGTGCATCCCACCTCAACCTCCAGCTGTCCGCCCACTTCACTGCATTACGCGCGGTAGATCAGCTGTAGAAGCTAGAGCAACAGGGGTCCCGGAGTATCCTGGGTGAGTGTCTTGAAAGTCCGGGAGTTCCAAAGCCCCAAAGAAGCTTCCAGCCCTGGATTCATTACTGTTGATCAATGGACAGAGCTTCCTCAGCGGTCAGCAGCGACACACTCACGCCGTAAACAGTGAGTACACACACTTCACACACACGTACACAGACACACACACACACACGGCTGGAGCAGCAAGTACCAAACGAGTCAAATATGAAGAAACCTAAAATAAAAAGAGAGAAAAAGATAGTTGTTTTATTATTAGTATTATTTTTTATGACAGAGACATTTTGTTTTTGATTTTTTGAGGACGCTTGTGGTTTAATTCAAACCTTGATTTGGTGTTGACTGAAATTATTAAAGAAACTGATTATTAACAACCCATGCTTTGTATTATTAATATGATTTGTATTCTTGTTATTACAATTATTGTAATTAATATTAGTAGTATTAGTAGCCTATTTATATTCGTATTATTTACTTTTGTAGCTAGTTTAGTTACAGTTATGTTAATTCATAGAAATCCTTGTTGCAATATGATTGTGCTCATAAACAAACCATATTTCTCCTTTTAGCTTTTGACCAATAATAACGTAAAATCAAATTATATTTTAGATACGAAAGTGGTTTAGTTATTGCATTATTGTAGACCTACAGGCCTAGACGTTAGTTAGGCTAAATGAACTAACAAACTGGTAAATAATTCTGAATGAAACACAACCCTTGGAGGAAATCATGCTTGCATTCTCTCGCTTATATCTGAAACTCAACAAATGTTTCAAAATGGTATTAGCGCAATTACGCCAATCAATTAAAAGTATTAATCGTGTGTGCGCGCGCGTCTACTCTTTGTTTCTGAACAAAACATAGGTTGTCACGGCATTTTGCCCACTTTGTCATTTTTTAACTTACAATTGATACTTACGACATATTGGCTGAACAACAGCGCGGTAAACAGTGTTTCCTCTTAAACTGCATCAACACTGATTGCAGAGCGTTGAGGTAAAAGTTCTCTCGAAAAAGTTCCAGAGATATAACACAAAAACTCGTAACTGAGATTTCAAGCTGACATAACAATTAAAAGTTTTACCCTGTCAAAGAAAGATCCAGAAAAGATATTTTACTCTGCAAAATGTAAATAAATGTATGCGCAATGTGTATGCAGTTGATCGTCGATAACTTTTAATTTACACCTTTCAAATCTTCAAGGACGCAAAACTTCATGGCCAAGGGGACGTGTTGCGACGCATCCTTTGTGACCTTAAACAGCACCAAAGTGGCCCAGTTTCCTCCTGTTTCTTAAAATCACTAGAACTCCTCACTCCTGTTTACGGCCTCGCTCATAAAAAATAATGCGTCTAGATTATGGGCTTCTCTCCACAAACAGTAACTTTACTTGAAACAGTGCCCTCGGGCGCAGCTGAGACTAGGGATGACAGAGGATTGATGCTTTGATTTAAAGAATAAATAGAAATGTTAGACCATAGAATAAAACCGCCATTTTTTCCAAAGGTGCTGGAGCTTGACATCTAAATCCAATGTGACGCCCTTCTCCACTCACTGGGCCACTGACCCGATATTGTAAACTTTTTTGGAAGAAAGAGAGGAAGAGGGAAAGTAGCCTACATTTTTCTCAGCTGGAAGGTCGTGCTGCTTTGCCCTCCACTTTAAAGTTTTCAGATTTGACATGGGGTCACATAGCACGTAAAATAAGCCTTGCAGCGCGTAATGGTGACGTTGGCGCAAGCGATGTCCTTTTATTCTTCTGTTCTCTTTTTTATTATATAATACGAATCCGCTGCAAGACACTAACGATTATCTTTGGAAAAACACTCTCCATATTGTATTGTAGTAATATGTCAATCATATTTTTAGTAATACCGGCTACATCTAAAATTATTATGTTTTGTGTTTATAAAAGCGCATTTGTCATCCCCAGTGCATTTCAAAGTAGATGTCTTTATCAGATGACAGTAATGCCTCCACATTAAAGCAAATAAAGAAGCGTTACTAAAGATGCTTCCCCTGCTTGGTCCCTGGCTGCTGATGACAAGTTCATGTTCACTGTAAAACTCCAGAGGCCGGTCCTGTGTTATTTTAGCTTCTCCCTGTTTTCCCGCAGTTATGCTCACTCTGGTGAAGCTGGTGTGAGCTGCGGTGCAAAGGGTTTGGCCACGCAATCTATGTGGATGTGCTCTTACCCATACTATACCCTATAACCAGTTGTCACTTTGTCATTGCATTCATTGTGGCAACAAATAGGATTTTAAAAGGCTTGTTTCTCTCTTCATCATAAAGACGACTGTGCTGCCCATCGAACTAATCATCCTCTCCTTATCCTATAATAACTTCTAACCAAACTAAAACAAGTCCAGCTAATAATAATAACTTTGTATATGTGAGTTTTATGAGTTATAACCCTGTTCTAATTACAGATTTCTTCTTGAATCCAGCTCATGGAAACTAAGCATGTAACATACATTTTAATTCCAAATCTACATTTTATTCATGACAATATTGTTAGTTGCATCCATCTCTACCGCTAACACTTAATTAAACTACTAATTAGCCTTAATAAAGCATGGAGAAAGACATAATTCATAATGAGCAAATAGGCAATCAAGTATGATTGAGGATAGATACCTTAACTACTAACCCCTTAATCAAGTTAAGTTAACCCTGAATCATTCTTTATAAACTATTAATAAACTCTTCATTATGAATTGAGTCTTTTGTCATGGTATAGTTATTGCCTGTGTAACCACTATCTCTAATAGTCTAATAATGCAAACATATTTGCATGCAAAAAGTCCAAGCAGGTGCAATGTACTGAACAATATCTCCAATACAAGTGTAATAGGTGATTTGATAAGTTTGTGTGTGGTCCTTAAAGTGTTGGTGTATGTAGCTGTGGTTAGCACGCTAAGTGTCTGTCTGTAAGTTCATAGGCTGTGGAACTGGAAGGGCGAGGCCAGAACTGCTCATTTTATTCTGTTTTATCAAATCACATGTTTATGAGAAAGCTAAATAAGTTTGCCAGTGAGGCTCAGTCTATTAGCGATCATTTGGTGCAAGTACAAGTTCATGTTTGAGAATCTGTGAACTAGACATTTTTTCTGCCAATTTGAGTGTGTTTGGTGAAAAAAAGAAAGCAAAAAAGCACCAGTTCTTCCCACATCTCAACAGTAACACATCTGATGGCCATAAACGGCAGATTCCACAATAATGTAACCTTCCCTAACAGCAATCATTTCTCATAAACAGCCACATAAAACAGCAGAGAAAACAAATGCTGAAGCCGTTATTTTAGAACTGTCTGTTTCCTCAATTTTAAACATTTAATGTATAGCCGTTTAACTCACTGGAATCTGAAATTGTAGTCTTCAACATGATGAAAAAGAACAAAACATTTTCCTTATCCTTATGTGTAGATTTCTAAATTTTATTATTTTGAAAAGATATAAGTAGTTGATTTATGTTTTTATTGTCCATTACAATATATTCAGGCTGTAACCAAATATTTTTTTTAAACTATTCATTAAATTCTTTCTAAATATTCCAATCTATCATGAGCCATAGCCAACCAAGACAGTGTTTCCCCCTTTTTCCGCATGCATACGCTCAGTGTTGTCTCTCCCTTCTTCTATCAGTGCCTGAGAGCAAGTATTAACCAATAACCTGATAACAGTGCCATAAAAGTGAAGAGAAGACTAGGATATTTGTCCTATAGGTGACGCCTCTCGCACCAGCCCCCGTTATCAGCTCTAATAATGCCCTCAGAGGTCACGCTCGCTGTCTGCTGCAGGTTCAACACACACTTTATTACTATGAGGGAGATAGGAAGAGAATATGTCCTGTTTAACTCTCCTCTGCACACCTCCATTCATTTCATGGCAAAATGTTGTAGCTTCTTCTCTAAAGTTACTGGTGTGCAGATTCTTGAAATGCACATTTGATAATTACAGGAAAAATACAGATTAATAAATTAATAAACCTAATAAAAGTCATAAATTTAATGTAAAAGCATTATTGACCAGTTTATATTACATGCATTATTATAGAACAAGTGCTGATAGTTTTGATATTTGTGTTTCACGCGTCCTATAACTCTGAATATAAACTTCACTAGCTATAACGGGGTCGTCTTTTAATTACCATTGTGAGTATATTACAGTGTACTCTTTCATCAGAATGTTTTACTTTATTTTATTCTATGTTTCCTTGTTCACAAATTTCACTCACTTAAAAATGCACAATTCATACCATTGTCATAGAGGGACAAACTTGAAGAGATCACATCTTAAAATCCACAGTAGTTTTCACAAAAGGGCGCAGCCTTAAGTTCAAAATTCTCAGTGATGGAAAATGCGGAGATATGAAGAAATCTATATAAGGAGACATGTAATTATTATAGCATACGTCTTTGAGGGTACCAATCATGTCATAGTTTAGACTGGCTCTCAATTACATGTTTGTGTGGATGTCTTTGGAGTTGGACGAATTGTTTATAGGTGCATTTGTTTGTCCCTATCCCGCTCTTTTATTTGGATGGGTGTGTTCACATTTTTCACCCTCTGCAATCTTGTCTTTGGCTGTCGCATTGCATTTGTTATGTCTACAACATGTAATAATGTGGAATTTGATAGTGGCTTTATCGTCCAAGCAACCAAAAACAGAAAAAAAAACCTCTTTGTGTGAAATGTTGCATGGGACAAAAAAAAATCATGACCTAAAAGTTGTCACTGTCAAATCTACTTAGCAGAATATAACTTTCTAAATTATTAGTTGAATGTGTTTTTTTTTTTTTTTAAATACAGCTACATCTTTACTATTGCGAGATACGACTAGTGGCTTTGCTGAGGTATTACTTTTAATGACCCTCAAGTTTTTACATTTTTAATAGTACATTTTAGCACGGTAAGTTTTTTTGAAGTTTAACCAACAAATACTCAAAATGTTTTAGCCTGACCTTGATCTAGCGCATCAGGTTCAACTGTTGCAAGCATAAATCTTCCCATTAACCTCCTGTATTCATGCTGCTGGTCAGAGCAACCATAAACTGAGTAACCTTTCCTTATCGTGTGCACATTACATGATGGTTCCTGTCTCCATAACAAGGCGGCTTCACGTACCTGTCCTTTATTAACTGTTCAGACCGTGGAGGAGCTTATCAAACAGCGCTGTAGATGGATGCAGGATAAACATGATAGCCATCTTAGTGTCATTACTCAGTGGTCATTAAGGTTTATATCTGATAAAGTTATCAATGGGATTCCTGCTAAGGATGATATGATCAACAAAGAAGAATTGCTTCACCTACATTGTAATATTGGATTAAATCAGCGATTGTAGATGTAATAACTTGATGTGAGTTCATTAACGTTCAGATCAAATTTGTAACTGTTGTTGATATGTTTAATTATGGATTATCGTGTGAGAGGTAAAGGACTTAATGAGCCACAGGGTCAAACTAAATGTCAGATCTGTGCAAAGACAACCCCACTCATTGTAAGAATACGTGTTATTTAATGCAATTTTGAGCAATAAAAACACCCGTAGTAAAATAAATGTAAGCCGGTTAACTTGAATACCATATTAGAACATTCCACCCAAGGCAATAACATCTTCATGGAGACACAAGAAGGTGGCGGACCCTCTACCAGAAAAGTCACAGAGTGCACCTTTAAAAATGCAGGAAAGTTATTGTTCCTCCTGCATACTGAAATATAATTGCAGCAGGATGTGTGGGGGTATTACAGAGTGGAGGAGAGGTGTGGGTGTCCCGGGTGAGGTGATGCTGAGATGTCGGAGCAGAGGTCCAGATAGGGATCGTCTGTAGAGCACTGAGCTACTGCAGGTCAAAACTTGCCCCAGATACGTAATCCTTCTACACTCTTTTCAAACATGTCACATTAAAAGCACTGATTCCACTCTCAGCTGAAGAACAACACTTGTCATGACACTGAACCACTAGAAATGCATATGCTAACAGCCTCTGCCATTGAAGTCCTTTTAAGTCACTTTAAACCCAGGCGTTCTTTACTGTGCTATAATATTGTTAGCGGTTACATTTATTTGCTAAGCCTCCCTCTCTTCTCAGCCAGACGCACATTGTGAATTATAGCTACAAGTGTCGTGCCTTTGAAGTTGTTTTCTTTTTTAAAGCCACTTTTAATAAACTTCGCCACTTGCATTTTTGATTCTTCTTCTCCCACATTTTTAATCACGCCAAATGCTAATGTTTTTAATTTATTATATGTTTTGAAATTTTGCCCAAGCTCCTAATGCCTCACAGATTGTGTGTTTTGTTTTTGTGCCACTTGTGGTGCATGGTGGAGTTCAGCTGTGCAGTGTTGTAAGAATTGAAACTGAAGAAGATGAAGCAGCAGGTTCAGCAGCACAACTGAGAAGAACAACCAACAAACAAAATGCACTGGAGCATTTAGAGGAGTCATGTGTCATAGCTCTTCTTCAGTGAAAATTACAATAACCACAGTCCCCCTTCATTTGTTCTGCTGGATCTCTGACCAGTGTCACTGAGCACTGAGACCCTCTGTATTTTTCCGCTCCGAAATGTTGATTTCCATTCTCTAATAGAAAAAGCTCTTTCTCTGTGCTGTTGCCATCATTTCACATTGGGGGTCACACACGCTGGCACAGTGTCCAGGGGCCCGTATGTAAATAAAGGACTCCATTTGGCTGTGCTCCTTTGCTGTTGGCATAGCTCCACCTCAGTCTCTGCTCTGATGGTATTAACTGATATTAGACTTTTGGCCAGAGCTCTGGGTCAGGGGACCAACGCACGGAGACTGTGGTCTCACAGAGGTCACTGGGCTACTGTAGCAAAAAGATGACCCCTTATATTACATTACAACAAAGTTTATACAATCATTTGCTCTATTGTTTATTGCCTTGTTCACCAATTTAAATTTAAATTGTGACAAAAAAATGAATATATATATATATATATATATATATATAAACATTCTGTTCAGTACTATGGAACTCTCGAGGCAAAGCAGAAAAATGAGAAGGAGATAAGCAGGGGACAGAACCTCCACCAGAAAAGTTACATAGTTTAATATTTTAAGTAAACTTTAATATGACTGATTTTACAGGGTTATACTTTGGCATACTGAACATCTCTGAACAACCAGTCCCTTATGAAGAAGCGTCTGGAATCAGACTATAGAGCTTGACAAACCATGGTCCTCACTTGGGACGCTTCAATCACAGTTGTTAATTTGTAGCACGTGTCTCTCAAATGCAGAAGACATCGCTTCTCAAAAAATCTTTTACCTGAGATAAATAAGAGTTAGGTCAATTGTTCGAATGTTGATTTTGCAGAAATCCATGGTGTTTTTTTGTCCTCTGCACCACCCCAGCCCTCTTTTCATGCGAGAGCCGCCATGTTTGTTTTGACACAAACAGATGATGCGTCTCTCTGATTAGTTAATCCGCCTGTCAATCATGCCCAACACTAGGGAGGCATCATACTCTAACTCTATATCAGTCCAAGAGCCTGAAACATCATGAGATAAGGCAGTGGACATAAAAAAAATTGATGATGTGTCCTACCTTTCACATTGTCACTTTTGTATTTGAATTCTTCTGTTCAAACTTCAGTAAACAAAGCTATTTTAGTCTGAGTGCATCAAGTCTGTGAGGGTGACAGTGAGTTATCTCTGCTGGGGGCGTGTTAGTCTTATGAAAGCTCCAGTAACACAGTGCAACAGTGTGGTTTTCTTTATGGTTTTTTATATTTCATGGACCACACTGGAGGTCTGTGGTGAAGTCATCTATCACTTATTGGGCTGAGCTGCCATGGCGACTGATTTCATGAGATTTGTAATCAATAAGAAGTGTGTCATCAGTGTTAAGTAACCCACTTGTCTGATATATAGCGCCCCACGTTGATAACTTGTTTTGCTTTTAGGCTCGTTCTCTTTGGCGGGGGCTCCGTTGGAGTTGTGGAGGAGCATGGAGCAGGGAGGGGAGAGTCCTGTGGCCCAGGACAGTCCCGAGCGCAGGGGGAGCAGTCCGGACCTCAGTGACTTGCCTCCACCAGGGAAGAAGGGACGACTGGAGCTGAACGGCAGTCCCACCGGGCCCCGGATTATCAGGCACAACGGGGCTCCACAGAGACCCCTGGGAGGTGAGACTGGGACACATTTAAATAAAACAAGGATTTTTGTAGATATAAAACTATGACAAACTCTATGTAGATTGTTATTTTACATTTCAATCATTGTAAACCATGATCTAAAATGTTCCCTCATTAATTCTGGCTGAGTTTAGACAAAATTGTATGTAAAATTGTAAAATTAAAACAACTTTTAGGACCTTGAATCTCACCCTATATAAATCCCCAATGTTAATAGTATGTTAGAATTGTTTTTATTTGACATATAGTATGAATTCTGAATATTTTCTGTACATCATCATCAACAAGATTTTTAATTTATTTATTTTTTGGTCCATTGTTTAAAATTATTAGATCTAAAATTGCCTAATAAGAGAACAAGGTCCATAGACTTCCTATTCAATTTAACCTGCAAAACAAAGAAGCCATTTCACAGAAGCAAACAGCAGATTTTCATTTAGATGTTTTTATGGCTGACAAATGGTTACGTGAATATGTATGGCATGTAATCTGAATTTTCTTAAATAATCGCAAGTAAATTCAGAGCAGTGGGTGAGGGTAGGTGAAAAACTGGAATTTCCTGAGCCCTAAAACCTCAAATGCAGGAGAATACAGGATTACTCAAACATACATGAATCATTCAAAATACAACTCTGAGTAAACTAATGATGGGGGAACATCATGTTAGCAAACTTAATCTAATACGTCCCCATTAGTTAAAACAAGGTTAAACCTCAATTAAAGTAAATCAGATATTTATGACAGTTTAGTTTTTCAAGTTAATAAAGATTTGATTGTATTAAGTGCATGGACTTATTTGCGAAAAAGCATATTCCAAAATTCAGTTAAATAAACTCCTATGTTTGTTCACTGTACCATGCCCATATCCTGGCACTGATCTCAGCCCATTCAGAGCAGCTGGAGACTAATGTATAAGTGGGGAACTGTATAAAGGCTGCTTACCAAATAAAGCAGATTGCACCATATAAACAAGATTTACACAAGTCACTCTGTGGATCGATCCAGCGCTCAGTGGTAAACTTAGACTTGTTTCTAGGGGCTTAGACAGAACATGTGTGCTATTGTTAAGATGACAGTTAGCACAAGTTGCAAATCCAAAGAGTTATTAGATGCACTTCAGTGTTTTGGCCCATGTGTTTTTGGAGCATTCCCATCTTCCCCCTCAAACCTTCTTTATTTCTTATAAAACAAAAGCTTCTGCAGCCACTACAAAGCTCAGGACAGGCATCAAAAGGCAAATAAGTTAATCAAACAATGGTTCATGACTGTGAGTCTTAATTGATTCAGATTGATTTGTTTGAGTGACGCTGTATTGTCCTGAATTTGAGAGTTGCCTGAGTGCTTGAAAAATTCCTGTTTTTACCTACCCCCTATCCCAGCCTACAGCTCTGTACTTGTTTGCAATTATCTGAAAAATCAAGACTCCAGGTGATGCGTGTATCATAAACATCATAAAAATCATAGCCACTTTTTAAAAATAAAAACATGTAAATGAAAATTCCCAGTTTCCTATGATGCAAGTATGAAGAGACAGGGTTAGAAATTGAAAGATCTGTGAAAGGAGCAGATGTCTTTCTCTGTTCTTTCTGTTCGTTTCACAAAATGAAATGGCAAGAGCAATAAATAAATGTATCTGAGCAAGTCAATGGTCCCATTTCTATTATCAAGCCATTTTAGATTTATATTGTGGTATACTGACTGAACGTAATCTAACTGAATGTAAAATTATGATGTACAAATTAGTTCAAATCTAATAACCTGAAAAAAGCTTAATATGTCTCCTTTAAGTGGGTTGAATGGTTAGTCTCTTAACAGTTCAACAGCACACGCCTATACCCCCGTGCCCATGTTGTATGCCTGAGCTGGGGGTCAACAGTCTAACAAGTGAACACAAGGCTCTGAAGAGGGGAGTGCTTGTCTGAGGAGCTGACAGTTATATTTCCCTGTTGGGGGAAATTCACTTACTTGAATTGGCACGGCGCTGCAGTGTGTAATTCACTCCATGAGAGAGGGAGGCCTGGGAACACAGTGATTAATGAGAGGAAATAGAAATATAGGAATTGACTGATTAAAACAACAGGCTGCTGCAGGGTCTGGGGGCTGCACCTCCATATTGTGTATAAGACAACATGTGTGTGTGGGGGTCTATTATTATTATTAGAGCTGGGACAGTGCCTAATGCTTCCAGTCCATCATTGGGTCTAAAAGGTTTAATTAATTGCCAGATGACAAGTGGCACTGGATCAAAAGCCTTCAGAGGACAGGTCCATGTAAGAAGAGAAGACAAAAGACAGCTGAATGAGAACGCTTATCTATACAAACTACAAAGTTTCAATTTAAAATGCCATTGTTTCTCTGGGTCTTAGTTTAGGTTACAGGATTGACAATGAATTTGGATACAGTTAGCATTCTCATAGCTGATTTTAGACAAAAGCTTTCAAATTCGAAACTTCGTCACTCGGTATTGTTACCATTGTTTTACCTTGGTAATGTTTTTATATTGTAATTATAAAAATAAAAAGAACTTTTGGGATCTTGCATTTCATTCTATGTAATCCCCAATGCAATAGAATATCAGAACTGTACGGTTCTATTTCACATTTATTTGACAAGTTATTCATACATGTATTCTTGTTTCATTGGTTAAGGCAATCTGATTCCAGCTCCCACAGAGGAATGCTGTCATTGTGTCCTTGGGCAAGACGCCTAACCCACGTCAACCCCAGTGTTTGCGCACACTGGTGTATGACAGTGCGTGAGGTTCATTAATGTAAAGCGCTTTAAGTGCCTTTAAGGTGGAAAAGTGCTAAATAAAAATATGACCATTTACCACCATACCAACATTTTATTTATTTATTTATTTTTTTGGTTCATCATTTAGGTGTTTATGATTAAAATCACATTTCATTTTATGAGATCTGAAACTTAAACTAAACATCTCAGAACTGCCAAGAGCATGAAAACCTTTAATTGTAAGGGGACAATATCTAACGGGATGTCTTGCTATAACAAAGCCATATGAACTGGATGACGTTTATAACACCTTCTCTTCCATTGCCCCCTGTAGGTCTGATGATCCCAGTGTTCTGTGTGGTGGAGCAGTGTGATGGAGGGATGCAAACAGAGGGCTGTGAAAGCAGAGAAGAGCATGCAGAGTTTGTACTGGTCAGAAAAGACATCCTATTCTCTCAGCTGGTGGAGACTGCATTGCTCGCCCTGGGCTACTCTCACAGCTCTGCAGCCCAGGCTCATGGTCAGTACCCACAATGCACCTGTCGCATAGAGTCATATATATTTGGTTACATTAATCTTTTTGCTTTTATCTAGCCTACGCAATGTGTAATTGTCAAACCAACACTTTGACCAAACCGAATAAGATAAGAAAACTGAATGGGAAAACTTTCATTTGTCCCACAATGTTGCAACGCAAAGTACAACTATCAAGAATCAAGATAGTTGTATTTACCTATAACTCAAGGTTTTTGTTTTTTTTATTATTATTATTTTGCCCAAAGTATAGTTTAAAATAGAGAATTGCCTGGGATCAAGAATACACACTTCTTTAATACTTTAAGAAGATGTGAGTCTGGTCACCAGTGAAGCTTCCCTAAGTTCAGGTGGGCGTGATTGACATGTGGCTTAGCCAATCAGAGACATTCATGGTCTGTTTGTATCAAAACAAATATGTCTGCTTATGAGGGGGAAAAAATAGGAAAGAAGAAAAAATCTGCAGATTTCTGCAGAGTAAACACTAAAACACTAAACAGTCAATCTGATGTGAGAAAAATGTTATTTTGTTTCTAAATGATGGGTGACCAATGAGCTCCTTCCTGTGGAGACCATACTCAAATTCCCCTGTGTAAAAATACAGGGATATATCATTCTGGATTTGACAGGCAAAATACATGAGTCCATATGATTAGTGATTGTTGTGTCTGTTGATGAGCTATGGGCGTTTGATGTTACAATAAAGGATTTTTATTACAAAGGAAGACAATACAAGGGAAACACAAACAGGAAGAAAATGTGTATGAAAAAGCAAATTCTTGTAGGACTATCTGAACACAACACATAATAATGGAAGCTGTGTGTGAGGGGACCATCCCACTAATAACTGGTTCCAGCCCAAATGCATGTGAGGTTGTCTATTTAGAGCAGCCACTGTACTGTTACAGGGGTAATAAGCACAGGAATGTTACAAAAACACAACTAAGACACAGACAGAGCCTGTAAAAGTCATTAAAGACACAACAAAGAGTGGGGCAAGAATGTCTCCACAAACCAAAATACATTGTGCATTCAGTGTGTTTATGGAGTGGAGAAATACTCTGTCATTTATAGCGCCACACATGTTAGTCATCTCCAGGACAGTGTTGCTTGAGCTGTCTAACCCAAGTAGTTTGTATCAGTCCCACAGAGGCAGAGGTACATGCTGATAAAACTGTTCAACTTAGTTACAGTCAACACAAATGGCATTATGGGAGTTTCTTTGTGTCGCGGCGGAGTGCCGTCATCTGCAGTCGGTCAGTGCTAATGCCACAATATGAAACATTTTGCCATTGTATCATTAGCAGCCTCTTATCAGGTGTCTAGGCAGCCTCACATGAATTTTCAACTTCAGCCTCAGTCTCAGCTAGTGTTTGTAGTGATTGTCTGTAGTGTATGAGAAAAAGAAAATTGTTCATTTATCTACAGAGTGATATTTTTTTGCCCAGTATTCATTATAATGTTTGTGGAAATATATCATCAAAACTGTGTTGTAAGTTTTTCATTTATATAGCGCTTTTCACAGACATTATGTCACAGAGATGCTTTACAGAGCATTATTCATTCACACCATTCCCGGTGGTGATAAACTACTAGTGTAGCTACAGCTGCCCTGGGGCAGGCTGACAGAAGCATGGCTGCCAATCAGTGCCATCAGTCCCTCCAACCACCAACACTCTCACACACACAACACTTTTATACTACACAATGTGGGTGAAGTGTCTTGCCTAAGGACACAACAATTTTTGCAACTGGCACCCGCCTGTGGCACCTGATTTTCCCAGTGGTCTCCCATCCAAGTACTACCCAGGCCCAGCCTTGCTCAGCTTTTGAGATCTGACGGGATCAGGCTTTAGCAAGCCTTGTAATCAATACGCATGACAACATCCATAGTAAAAACTGAAGCACTGATCCCAAAGACATTATTTTGACTCATAGTCAATCATGTAACAACCAGTGTTTCAAGTCAGTGAAAGCATCAGCCATAAAACATATAATATGCTTAAAGGTCCTGTATTATTCAAAATCAACTCTTTAAGCCATGCTGTTACTTAATCAAAAACATAACTGAAGCTGTGTTTTGTTTAATTCTCACAAGTCTGAGAAATGCTTTGTTATTAGTCTGTCTACATCTCCAAAGATTGTGATGTCATGAAGCAGATTTCAAGTTAACAGCTCATTTTACCTTTAATTCAATATGGCAAAGTCAAGGCTAATTCACCAAATGATTCTAATTGAAGGTGTATGGAGTTTAAAAACACAGTAGAGTGCACACGGGGGAGTGTTTTCTGTATGAGAGAAGAACTCAGTCTAAATATGCAGGGTTTGTGGGTTAAACATGTGTGAATGAAACAAAACAAATCTCCGGATAGGTTTTTGATGAGGAAATAACATCATAACATCAGAAATTTGTTTAATATAGGACCTTAATCCCATACATTTCAAAATATACTTGCCCTGGAGCACAAGAATAAAACCAGATATTTTGTTATTTGCAGAGGAAATGTTGCTTAAACATGCGATTTGCTAATTACGACTATTGCACGACTATGTATCTTTCAGCCTTGATTTTAATAGTTCATGAGAATTCACCAAGTCAGTGTCACCCATAGCTTGTTTAGCCTTTGGTTTTGAGTGTATGTGGAAAACAGCCAGCCACATCGCTCCTCTGTCCACATCAATGCATTTCTCTGTACAAACACCACGCAAGGGGCTTCAAAGACCGGACCCAACGCAACATGGCAGTCAACACAAACAAAACTCACAACTCAACTCTGAATTCCCAAGAACTAGTGTGGACATTATGAAAATACAACAGTCGAGTCCATGTCCCCAAATCAGCACCAGTCATGTAGTGTCACCCACCCAACACACACACCTCCCTCCTACTCTTCACAAATGAATACTTTTTGTTTTTACCGTTTATGTTAAATGAATAATTTCTGGCTTAAATTATACATTTTTTCCCTTGCGGTCCACAACCAAAATTACACAGAGTCTCAGCTATTTTCTGCCTGTTTGAATTGTGTCCTGCATTCTTGTGTCCCCGCGGTGTATTTAAAGCACCACTGCCTTTCTGTAATTAGCTCAGACCAGTAATTAAATGGAAGATATTGTTTATTTCAATTATAAGGGTCGGAAGGCTTTTATAGAAGAGATGGGAGAAGACCTGTACTTTTGGGCTTGGGTTAACAGTCATTGTTATTGTGCCACGTCGAAAAAACTGCCCGCAAAGGGTCAGTGCTGTGGACATCTGAGTACGGACGCAGCATTGTAAATTGTAGCCTTCATATCAGAAAAAAAGGCTGTTTTGCAATAGACCAGACAAAGTATATAAGTCTACCACTATGGTGTGACCTCAACAATAAAAATACATATAGTCTGAGGTTGTGCATAGAATAACGCATATATGTTCTGTACTGGATCATAAAAAAAAATCCACGCCACGGTATTTACCTTGGATTAGTTCTGTAAATGTCAGGCTACATTATGTTTACTATGCAAACAAGAAAATCTGATTGGGTGTGAAAAAAGATTATTAACAGGTAATTTAAGTAAAATGCTGGGAAAAAATGTAATTAATTGTTATGGAGGCACATATATGTATCTTTTTTGGTGACGTGTCTGCCATCTGCTTGTCTCTATGTTATACTGTGTTGCCTGGGATGTTCTACAGTATGGCATTTTTTTTTTAAATCTCTTCTGAGCGGGACAAGCAGGTGCGCATACCAGCCCAAGTCAAATCTGTGCAGAGGTGACTTCTCTCACAGTAAGAATATATGTTTTTCAAAGTATTTTTTAGCAATAAAACACTTGTAATTGATAGGACGGGTAAGTTTGATACTGCGGAATATATCACACAAAGCAAATCTTTTCCATGGAGATAATGAAATTGGCTGACCTGCACCAGAAAAAGTTACGCAGTCCGCCTTTAAAATTATTCTCACGCTCTCTTCATGTAATGGTGAAGATTTAGCAGAGAAGAAGAAGCCTGTCATTCTGCAGCATTACGCTTTGTAAACAGTTTCAAATTTCTAGTTTCTTGTTGATGTCTGGGGGGGTAAAATTTCCTATTTCATTCACTACAAAGCATCAAAAATCAACATAACGAAAACCAGCACTTGACCAAGAAACTAATATTGCTTAAGTATATAACAGTAAAAGATGCCCAAAAGCATCAATTTTAATGGTGTACATGCAGGTTACAGAAGGGTCAAACTATGTGAGGCCAGTTACTTGAATAAAACAAAACGTGTGATACTAGCCAGAAAGCTTATCAAATATTCATGACTGGTCAATAAGGCATAAAAAGTGATTAAATAAAGATGAAAACTCATGCAAATTATTTAAGAGACATGCTTGGGATCCTAGCTCTATCTAGCAATGATATTTTTGTTCGGTCATTGGATCATTCTTAGTCGGAGCTTGTGGTTGAACAGTGGGGGGCCGTGGGGTTTCCCTCACTGTCTCCAACCTGGAATTGGTTTGCAGGACGCCCCAGACTGCTGTGACCATTAGGACGGGACAATAGCATTACAGTGCACATAGGCTAAGCGTGCGTCTACAACTCTTTTGTGTGGATGGGCAAACGCAGACATGGGCCAAGCCACCAGCCGGCCACATCAAGGCATGTCTCTGGGAGGTGGAATTTTAATGTGGAAATGGGAACAATGATTTGGACTTTTAACTGTGGACACGAAGCAGAGCTGGAGAGGAGCAGACCAAAAAATGATGGATCAATTATTAATGCATTTGCCATGGCGCTGAGAGCATGCAAGCCGCCACAGAAACATGTCCAGTGTCTGAAGTCTGTTTACCGTCATGGGCAGATGCTTGTTTGTCAGCTTATTCACGCGTTCACTTCCACCCTGCTGGTCATTAGAGGGATTGTTGTCGTGTTTTTAGACGCATACATGATTCACATTGATAGCCGCTAGAGAGGATTTTGGGCTCTGCGTGAGACATAAAAATATATGAGAAACAGACAAAGCCCAAAAATAGAGGAAGGCACTTTTTTCCATCATAAAAGAAACTGAGTATTTTATTCCATGTCTTTAAAAGATCTTTATGACAGCTATCATTCATATTATAGAGACAGCACTTTAACAGGTCAAGTATGGATTTTACACATGTATATATGCTCTGATGTCATACTACATAACTCTAAAATACTTCATGCGCATATTTTGATGTATGGTCATAATTTAATATGTTGAAACACAAACAAATTTCATAGACAGTTAATTGTAATATTCTTTTAAAATGCTAACTGCAGTGCTTACAACCTGTAGCCTCCTTCCAACTTTTATAAAAATAAATAAATAAATAAAAATGAATGAAAAATATTCCATATATTTCTGTAATTAAAAGCTGTATTCAGGAAAGTAAACATTTTTGTTGTAAAGCTCCAGCTGTTTCAGGATGTCATTTCTTCGCCTCAGTGCTCTTAAATATTCCCTTTGTCTGGGTGTAAAACGAAGAACGTGTCTGGGCTGTCTGAATCAAAGATATACAGCAATCCCACTTACCCACTACACTAGAGGAATGGGAAAAGACTTAACTGAAAAAAAGAAGTGAAGGGAGGGGTGGGCCCAGAACCAGGGGACAAAGAGACAGTGAGAGGGGCTTCAGGACCCGTCTGGATCTCATTTGGAGGATAGTAATGCGATTAGTTTTGTTTAGTTTTCACAGTTCCCGCCAGCCCCCAAGAAAACCTGCCCGGACAAGGTTGTGTGTTGTGATGCCCTTTGTTGGAGTTTTTATTCATAGACAGTAACAGCAAAACATGTCAAATGAGTGGTAAAGGATCTTTGTAATTGCATCATTTTATAGAGGGTTTCCATTCAGGTTTGATCTTACAAAAAGTTCTTGTGTGTCGAAACAAGACTGAAAAGTTATATTAAAAACAGAGACACAAGGAAAGTATCTTCATTAGGATTTTTACGTCAGTGATTTTTTTGTGCAAAATTATGAACATTTGTGCATTTGAAAGCTTAAAAATATATGCACTGAATATAAAAAATAATAATTAAAAACAAACCTAAAAAAGATACATATTCAGAGACATTTAGCCTTCAAAATAATCTTATATATCACATAGCTATTCCACTGTATTAGGTTTGTAGTACCATTCTTATAGTGCAATTTGTGAGCTTAAGTAATTTTCTCTTGTCATGTATTTAAGAAAGTACAAGTATACCACTAACTATCATTTATTATTTGTTTCCTTGGTAACACAGGTATCATCAAAGTAGGAAGGTGGAACCCTCTGCCCATCCACTTTCTGACCGACGCCCCAGAGGCCACTGTTGCTGACATGTTACTGGAGGTCTACCACATGGTCACACTGCGCATCCAACTGCAGAGGTCAGTAAACATATAATTATGCTAAATACATAATAAACAGTGTTGAATATTTCCTCTATTAAATAAATAAGTGTGGACTAGACTTGTGCGGTCAGCCTGTGCGTGCGAGTCCACTGAGAAGCTTATGTCATGCCAATAATCGCAAACCATGAATTAAGCATATCTATCACATTTGAAAGCCCCAATTTAGAAATAGTAAAGTTAAAGGCTCCATTGGGGATTTATCTATTATCTGTATTCGTAAGAGCAGGCTTGTGTGCCAATAACTCTCACTCAGTCCCAAGCTGTGACTGAAGCGTGTTCGATTGTCAGATAAGATCAGATAAACTCCAGATGAAAATATTATTGTTGTTATTCTGTTGGAACATGCCACCACATTTGTTTACATGTGCGAGCTTGTTTCCATAGCAGTACATGATGGAGCATTGTCAGAAAATATTTCATATCAGGAAAAAAATTTTATTTAAAAAGCGAATATGAAAGTTAGATATGACAAACAATCATTTTTGTTTTTTTGCAGTTTTTCAAAGTTGGAGGACCTTCCGTGTGAACAGTGGAATCATGCCACTGTCAGAAACGCTCTCAAGGAGCTTCTGAAAGAAATGAACCAAAGCAGCCTGGCCAAAGCCTGTCCCCTCTCACAGGTAACATTCTGATTTCAATAGTAAAATTTAAAGAAAGCTTCTAAATAGCAGCAATTATAACTGTAAGTGCTGAGCAAGAATATATTGTACAATAAGAGTTAGCTTTTAAAATGTTGAAATCATTCGGTACACATTTTTTAAGTTCAGAAACATAAACTGGTGCTTTATAAAAAAAAATCTGGTCAAGGGTGCCAAACGTTTTGCTTGGAATGTTCCAGAAAATGGCAACTCATCTTTCTTGATGAAAGAAGCAGGTGGCAGACCCTCCACTAAAAACACACGTAATGTACCTTTAACATCAGAGTGAAGACTGAAAGATGAACTGCTAAACTAATACAGAATCCCGTGCAGTTCAGAACATGTTTGCAGAGATCTAAACTACAGGGTTAGCAGGTCACACACATCATTTACGATTTGCTCATTTGGATTTGATTGATTAAAGTTGCAGCTCTACATTTGTCTTATTGATAAGTCTGACTGTGCAGTAAGTGAGGAGGCTGTTGTATCCCAGATGCATGTTAAGCCACATCCTGGGCCCATAACGACTTGTATGTGAGATTTATGCCTGTGTTTAAATGGAGCACTAGTGGGGTGTTGATCGCAGAATCAATTGCTAGCATATGCGCGTGTGGCTGGAGATTCCCTCTCTGCGCCGCACTGCCTCAGCTTTCCATGGGTGGCTTCCAGTCATGATTAATGTTTGTCTATTGCTATTGTGAGTGTGTGTGTGGCCATCTATTTATTACATTATAGGGATGTAAAATGTTTACATAGCTACATGCCCCATAGGAACAAATTCACTTCTCCAAAACCTAAATCATTACATTCAAGAGCAAAGAGGAGTTTTTATTTTTTATTTATTTTGTGGTAAGTGCATACATAGTAAATGCTAAGTGATGTTTTTCTGTATGTTTCGAAGATAGTGCTTAGTTTGTGGATGTCATGATATGATATTTGTCTTAAACAGTCTCTTCTCTTCTTGTCAGAGTATGATATCCTCCATAGTCAACAGTTCCTACTATGCCAATGTCTCGATAGCCAAATGTCAAGAGTTTGGTCGCTGGTACAAGAAATTCAAAAAAATTAAAGGTAAGCTCATACATGTGATTATGTTATAGATAACTATATAGTTCTGGTATTGACACTCATTCCAAATAGACTGTATAAATATTGTTTTTTTCTGTGTTAAGCAGTGGATTATCTGGAGAAGATGTGGTCTGGGCGTGAGCATGCTGACATCAAAAGTAAGCTAATTAATGTGTATTAAACTGTGTTGTTTTGGAGCTCTCATCTAACTGTTTTTATTGCCCCACAGTTGAGAGAGATAGTGTAGCAGACTTCTGTGTGGTGGGACAGCGGCCCCCTCCTCACCTGGCTGGCCTGGCTCAGCTCGGACACTTGGGAGCAGGGAGTCCTCTGCTCAAAGGAGGATCAGAGGTACAGAGCCCCACACAACCACAACCTCCTGCCCCCCCCTCCTCAGCAGCCTTCTCCCCATGGGCCGCTGCACCACGGTGGGCCTCTGCGCTCAGGACAGGTGCCTCCTCCTCCCCCTCCTCCTGGAGCCCTGCAGCCCCTGCTGGGCCCAGGTGGGCTCCTGTCCCCCCAGCTCTCCCCTCAGCTGGTGCGGCAGCAGCTCGCCATGGCACATCTCATCAACCAGCAACTGGCCGTGAGCCGCCTGCTCGCCCATCAGCACCCTCAGGCCATCAACCAACAGTTCCTCAACCACCCACCCATTCCCCGAGGCTCCGCAAAGACATCGGGTGACCACCTGGGCAGTAACCCCTCCGCCTCAGAGGTGTCCGCCGATATCTACCAGCAAGTCCGGGATGAGCTGAAGAGGGCCAGTGTGTCCCAAGCAGTGTTCGCACGTGTGGCTTTCAACCGGACACAGGTAAACCACTGTCTCTACACTCATTTACTCTAAAGATAATGTTTTCACTGAAAATATATGCAAGCACTGTATGATGGTTTAAGTAACACAGGGTGGGATGCATTTCATAACAATGCACTTAATCTTTATTTCAAAACTTCAACGATACCAAATACCCAAAACTATAGTGGTAAATGCAGTTGGATGAAATATTACATGATGCTAATAGCTAATTTGTCATAAAGCACCTGTGTTGAGCGGAAGCGTAGCAGGACATCGAGTTGGATCATTTAGTCTTGTTTCCCGCCCTCACAAACACAAACACCTGATGTAATCATGCTGTGATGGTTACTGCACGCCCCATTAGACCAATGTGATAAAAGGAGATAACCTTGCGGCCAGGTGCTGCTGGTGCGTCACTGTACAGTGTCTAATTCAGCACCTGTGTATTAGTGAGGCCTGTGCTCATCAGTGCATGTGAGTGCATGTGATCCTGTGGTGTGTGCTGTCCAGGGCCTGTTATCAGAAATCCTCAGAAAAGAAGAGGACCCCCGCACGGCCTCACAGTCTCTGCTGGTGAATCTCAAAGCCATGCAGAACTTCCTGAACCTGCCTGAGGGCGAGCGAGACCGCATCTACCAGGAGGAGAGAGAGAGGACCATGAACCCCTCAGTGGGACTGCCTGCCTCCAACTCAAACTCAACTGGGCCAAGAATGTCACAGGTAGCACCTCCTATGTAATACAGCCATCTGACCACTGCAAAGTGGATGAAACTAAAGCCTTCTGCCTCTTGCGCAGAGTAAGATGTGCTTTGAAAATGAGTTCAAACAGCTGAATGGTGCTTTATATCTAATGAATTCTCCTTATGTTTCGTGTGCGTAGAAAGTGTGGGAGAGGAGCTTGGACGACCAGATAAACCCTGATACCTGGGCCTCCATTTGGAAGAACAAGACTAAGATATCCAACTCGGTACATTATCTTCTATCTGTAACTTGGCATCAGAGTAGACCACAGCAGCCATCTTAAACAAATTCCATTTCTAATGGAAAAAAAACCAACTTGAAAGCTATCATAGACTATACTGTAAACACAAAGACATTATACAGTATTTGGGAAGTCTTATGTACACACAACAATTTAGCATTGTCAGTGATAAGCAGTGCTCTGTGATGTCAGGGCAATGCCCATTCAAGGCTATAGCTGAATATGGGAGCCACTCTTATTATGTCTATGAAAAATTATCTTAGCATCGTTTACTGGGAATGTAAGCTCACTGGCCTGTACTCGTCTTGTGGACAACATCAAACAGTGTGTATACAAACATTCAGAGGGCCAATACATGTTCATTCAAATCAAAACTAGAAAGAGGACAAAAGAAAAGGACTTAATGACTTTGATCTGTAAACTAAACTAGTGCAGTCTGATGTGCTCATATGTGGAGCAGCCATGTCTGTTTGGTCTGATCCTGTGCTGATAACATCACCTCATGTATGTAAACAGGAGAGGCCCTTCTGATTAGGACTCACTTTGTAATATATACTGTATGTAATGCATCCTTTAATGATCACTTTAAGTGCTTTTATGTTATTCCCTGTAACTTATCTCAAACAGGAATCTTAAAACATTTTATATCTGTAACATTTGTACTTGGTCACTTTGTTTTGTGTAGCCAAAGCAGCCTGGCTCAGGATCAGACCTGCCCATAAAGCTCGAGTCTTTGGTCAACATTACCTCAGGCATCTATGAGGAGATTCAGCAGGAGATGAAGAGGGCCAAGGTGTCTCAAGCACTCTTCGCAAAAGTGGCCGCCAACAAGAGTCAGGTACAAGGTTTTATTCTCATTAACAATCTCAACTCAACCCGTGGCTCAAAATTACTTTAAAATACATCTATGTTTTCATGGAGAAAGTTAGTTTTCTAGTCCTTCGTACTGGGTGTGGGTAAGATAAAGTTTACTCATCTAAAATATTGCTAAATATATCTGAGAAAAGCATTTGGTTAAAAAACATGACCAAAACATTATTTGGGTATACGATGACAATGTTTGACTAGGCCTGTTATGATAATTACTATATCAGCTCCAAAATATATAAGCTGGAGCAGTATTTTTGGGGGGATCATTATTTATCATGTGTACTTTTTCTTTGTGCTACTAGGAATTTTATTTATTTTTATTATTTTTTGACTATAAGATAAGATTCTGCTATTTATTTATTGCAGCTCATGACAATATTGTATATTAAGAATATTTGTTGTGGTTTAAATATGCTTTTGGGTTATTGTGTTAAAGTGGCATAAATTGGTTTCAGAATTATTGTTATCATCAATATTTACTTAAGCAATATATTATTATATATAATACTTCAATTTTTTTTTTTTTTATCGTAACAGGCCTATATGGTTGACAATAGCACTAGCTATGTACTCAAAATATCATAACATTATTTTATATAAACGGGCACTGCACCAGATGCGCGTATTATCTTTGCGACATACTCTTCTGCACAAGAAAATTAGATAATAACACCTAAATAGAGAAACAACTCTCACTCAAGTTGGTGCAGAATAAACCTGCAGAAACGATGTGTATATCAAGATATGAACAAGAAGAACTTTCTCAAGCACATGCCAGTCACACCCTGCACTAAACCTTTTCCATCAATCTGTCAGAGCACGTTGTAAAACTGGAAACACATTGTCAAATGAGTCCAGCATGCTGATGAGAAGTAAACGAGACACAGGGCCAAAGCATGTGGAGGTGCACCGGGCTTGTATTGTTCAGGCTGTTCATTTATTTGTGCTGATTTTAGATTTCTACTATGTATTTGCAGTAATCCCAAATATCATGTGCTACTGATATAGTCTTTTGTATGTACATATTGCTATTATTCACTTTTTTGGATTATGTTTTTGTTACCATTTCAGTATTATGTTTTGTCTGGTTGATCTGTACAGCTGAACATTTACATCTGTTTAGTCCTGACCTCTGCATCCTTTTCTACTATATCAATTATAGAGTATATTTCCTCCTTCCCTACCTTTATATAGTATCTAATAATAATACAATCTTTTTGTTTAATTTCAATCACCAATCTCCACCATTTAGAATTGTCACTACCTCCTACTGTACTGTATATTCATAACATCTAGGTTTATTAACCATTTAGTATAACATAATAGATGTGGAAAAGATAACAATTGTAGTTGATGGAGTACGGCTCATATCCATTCTTATGTATTTTAGCTTAGGCATGTTAAAGTAGCATGAGTTAGCGTCTGTAAGCGTGACAAAGTTGGGGTTTCTATACATGTTTGCGGGTGTGTGTGGTTAGGGCTGTCCCTTAGGTTTTGGTGGGTCTGGAGGTCATGGCTCAATGCACCCATCTGCTGCAGCTGGCCACAAAGACAGAGAGCGAGAGAGAGAGAGAGGCAGAGAAAGAGAGGGAAATAGAAAGAGAGAGAAACAAGGGAGTGTGAGATGATCAGGCTATTAGCAGTGCACGCTGCCCGAGGTGGCTGGGTGAACACAACAGCTGGTGTCACAAACCAAGCCAGTCTAGCAGATATAATTGAATCTTCTCTAGCGCCTGTCTTCTCTTTTCTGTCATCCCACACTTGAAACATTTATAATTTTTACATTTTAATCACCTTAAAGTCTGGTAATATCTTATGCAGACTTGTATTAGCATCTAATCATGTTACAAAGTTTTAACACACACATTTTAATTCAGCCTCCCTCTTCATAGTACATTTTTAGACAAAACAGATTACGGCAAATAAAAGTACAGTTACAAGATTAAAACAGAACTCAATTACAAGTACTGCTGCCAAAACTATAAAAAGTACTCAAAACTCCAAAGTCCTCTAGTTACTTTTTAATATGGTTTTAGTATAACTTTAGATCAATCTTTTGGGCACTTGTTGATTGAATAAACAGTTTAAAGCTGAAAGTTGTTAAAAGTCTCAATCTGCGTATGCTCATATCTTTTTGCAATCACAGTAGGCAATGCAGTACTGTTATGTGAGTTAATAGAGACAATGGAGAAACAATTGGGACTCAGTAACTAGTGATTTTAAATGTAGCTGCTTACTTAGATAGAGTCATGTTTTAAAATCTATATAAAAAACTTGTTACCCTAAAAAATTACTGTAACCTGAGTAGATGTAATAAGTATCCACCCTTGCATATAACAATATTTTATACCTCCACTGCAATAATCCCAGCACCTCTTACTCCTATTTCACGGCATCCACAAATCTGACATTAAAAGGTGAAATCACCCTGATCCTGATGCAGTTGTTCTTACGGTGCAGGGCTGGCTGTGTGAGCTGCTGAGGTGGAAGGAAAATCCCAGCCCAGAGAACAGGACTCTATGGGAGAATCTGTGCACCATCCGCAGGTTCCTCACTCTGCCCCAGCCTGACCGCGACCTGGCCTATGAGGAGGAGTCCCGCCACCAGCACTCCGAGAGGCTGCACACGGTACTGCACCTGCCCCAAGACCCACAGGTGAGAATCAGAACCTCAACTCTGAGTTTATGGCAATCTGCATAGGAACCTGCAAAAAAATCTCTCTCAAAATATAACCTATGTATGTATTAGTAGGAGCTGGCGATATTGACAGAAAATGAATATGTAACTTTTGCTTTGTCCTGATAAATACAATCATATTATAATTTTGTAATGTGGCAAAATGTGTCTCACAAAAGAAATGTGCCATAATATTAATCATGTTTGACTTTTCAATTTCAACCATTATTTGAAAGATTATACTGAAACTTTTGTATATGTGTTAGCCATACAACTAATTAACCATGATGATTTGTGTTCATGTATCCCAGCTAAAAATATGTGGAACAGTAAATCGGAGCAATAATTTAACTTTAAAGGCCCTATACCTGACTTTCCTTTCATTTTCCAAAAAGCTGTTTACTCCATTTGGTATATTGTAAAAGGAAAAAAATAATAATAATTTGCTTATATATTTTAAAATACATGTGTTGGATGACAACTGTGAGAAAGTAATTGCTGAGTTAGATAAGCGATGTGGCTAGATGAGAATCATGCAAAAACAACAACCTGTGATAATCCCAGAGAGTCTTTTCACTGTCATGGTTCAACCTCAGAGCGAGAGAAGAAAAGTAGGTGGAGCTAATCAGATACAGGCCCTTTAAACAACATTAGACCTCCTGCTCGTCTTAATTTTGGACCAATTGCATTTAGAGAATAGTATTCAGTTGACCGCACAAACCACACCTGTAAATATGAATTCCTCATAACATCTCTCTCCTTCTGACTGTAAGGAGTTGTGTTTGATCTCTGTGTGTGTGCCCGCCTGTTTGTGTGTGTGTGCGTGCCCTGGTGGAGCGTAGAATAAACACTGCAGCTGGGTGGTGTGGCACTGGAGGAAATGCCCCATTAGTTTTTGAGGAGGATTAGAAGCAGAGATGGGGGCTCTGGGGCACTGCTCCAGGGCAAGAACAATCATCTGATGGACATACACAGTCCTCTGGATTCATTTCAGCTGTGCTCGAATTTGGGTTTAATAATTAACTTTTGATGGGTAGTACTCTTGCAGATGTACTAATTACCAAGTACTAATTTGATTGTAATTTATTTTTCTGAAGAAACCCACACTCAAGTAATTTTAAGAGAAAAAATATAAGCATTATAATAAGACGCAGTCATGCACTAAACACTATACAATCATAACATATCATAATTCACATGGCATAGAAACAAAAATGGCTGTTTTGATATATATAATGACTGTATTCATTAGTATATTACTGTATTTCTGCCAAAAAGATTGACACTTATTTAGTTTCCAGTTTGAACTTAAAGTGCTGACATTCAGCGATGTTAATATCTTCACCACACATTCCCAAGCCGTAGTATACTGTGAAAACATTTGGTCAGGTTTTGTGAAAAACCCTTTTAAGAAATACATTCAAAACAACTGTTGTAAACACAACTGTTTTCATTGGTTACGCATGGGGAAGAACGTCTGTTTTTATTAGTACTGAAGGAGAGGAAACAAAGACAGTAGCAAAAGGGAGGTCAAACCACACGTCGGATCTTTACACAGGGATTGTAATCCCAGGTCACCCGGTGGAGAGCTTCCCAGCAGCCCACCCTGCTCCACAAGCCTATTATATCCCACATATAGTACATGCCACAAACTATAAATCAGAACCAGGCTGCAACTTCCCGTTAAGCATCTCCGAACTTGTTTTTCACTGGCCCCGCCCACTTCGCCTTCCCATTCTTGTATTAGAGTCAGTGATGGGAAGACGCAGAGGAAGCTGTGGTGGCACCATTAACACATTCCTCCTCTCACACTCCTCGGCAAAAAGACTAAAAATAAAGTTTACTCCCGTGTCAGCCATCTTGGATCCAAACCACACTAGGAGATGAGCTGCGGTAGTGATTTATTAATGGGAATGAGGTGTGCATACAAGTATATAAATATAAATACGGCCTTTTTGCCCTGCCCCTGTCCCCGGCCCAACCTCAGGCTCCAGCCGGCCTGCCACCATAGACCACACATGTGTCCCATCTGCCACACAGGCATTCACACTCACCCCAGCTAACACTGATAGTAACATGAGCACTGCTGCACTGCTTCTGGGACAGATATAAGGTAGTGTCTCACCAGCAATCTGACCAGAACTGAAGAAGCCGCTTGTGACGTAATGTCTTCACTCTCAAACTATTGTCCAGTTGGCAGAATTTAATTTTTCATTTGGTTTATAGCCAGGCAGACAGCAATCGGCACTTACCATAACTTTATAACAATCTTAAATTTAACAAAATGTAAAAAATGACAAGACCTATTAGATAAAGGGTGATAATGGGGGGTGGGAGGGTTTCTGTGTTGCATGTGGCTAACCTCAGTAGCATTGCTTTGTGTCGTAGCTGGCACTGCCCTGTGGTGCACTGTTTGGCTGTATGTACATTGTGTTGCTTTTGCAGAGAGTCCCACAGCTGATTTGGCCAAGTCTGTAGTTATAAATAATTAGTGTATTGCCTTATTTTTTTCACATGCATCTTTTCATACTGTATGTGGTGTGGTGTTTTTTTTTGTTTTTGTTTTTGTTTTACTGTGGTGGACAGTCCAAGAATGGTGCACTAAAACAAGAGCTATATCTTTTGCAGTTTTAACAGTCACAACATATTTTTACCTCAAAATAGAAATATGCCAAGTAATGTTTCTAGTAAATTTATTCAGCTTTTACTCAGTTTTATGTGCACTTGGTATTTATTGATTTAAGTACATCCAAGGCCTCTCATAATTAAATGTAATTCATAGAAAACCAAGAAATACCTAAAATGACTGAATACTCATAATTTGCAGTGAGTAATTTTCAAATAGCATCTCTAAGCCGTCCATTAGCACGCTATTATGTGCTTACCAATAATGTCCCATAAAGTATTCTGGCATGCTGCGGACAGTGATTTGGACCACAGATTAATAAATCTTAATGAAACTATTCACTAAGGCCTGACTGTGACTCCCTGTGCGTCCTGGTGGCCTGTTTTATCGTCACTGGGTGGGGTGTAGGCTCTCTGCAAAACCACAATTAACTTAATTGTTTAATTGCAGATAAAGGGAGTGAATACCACACACATCTCGAAGGAAAAAGAGTCACAAGCAGATGTCAGTACATTCTAATCCTATAGCACAGGAAGGCAGAGGCACAGCACTGACCTCAGTAATGTGTTTGTATCAAGAAGCATGATTTGACAAAACATGTACTGAGTCATTTGCTCTCTGTCCACAAATTATGAAACCACTTATACAATACAATCCACATTCACATTTCCAAGCCACAATACATAGCAGATTTGGTTGTATTATTGTCAGCATATATACAGTATTTCCATTAAAATGCTATGTTTTAAATGGCCCATATTACACTATTTTCTGATCTATGTCATGTTGTTTCCTCATCACCAACATACCTGGAGTTATGTTTTGTTTCATTCATACATGTTTAACACACAAACCCTGCATATGTAGGCTGAGTTCTTCTCTGAAACACATGTGCTTTCACATGATAACACAGTAAGTGCTCCACTGTGTTTTTAAACTCCATACATCTTCAGTAGAATCATTTGGACAACTATGGAATTGCCAATCTCCACTGAACTAAAGGTAAAAGGTAGCTCATAACTTGAAAACTACCACTTCATGACATCACAAGGGGAACAGAATATTTTGAGACATTTGAAACAAAACAGGGTATGTTTTTGAGGAGGTAACAAGATTATAATATGGCTTAAAGCTCACAAGACTCAATATTGTGCCTCTTTGTATTGTGCCTTTAAGAAATGTCCGGGTATTGATTGATATGGGCATATTCTCAAATCTCAAATATTAATATAGTAAAAAGGACTAAACTGTCCATTTCTAATCCAACCTGACTTAACTTAACCCAAACTTTTATTATTTTTATTATAAGATTGCCTTCCACAAGATGAAAGTATATGTATCTTTAATAGGCTTGGATACACTCCAGTCACTTCAACCAAAAGGAATAATCTTACAAATTGTTTCAGTTGCAGTGAAAGAAGTAGCAGAAGTAATCAAGTATATACTTAATTAGTGCTTTTTACTTCATACAAAATGTATTCTTTTTAAGTAACATCATGCTTTTAATTAAGCACGTACTACTTATTCCTCCTTTGCTGCAGCGCATGTATAATACAAACAAAACACACTCAAATTAACAGAAAAGGTGAAGTCATGCACAAAACTGAGAAGTGATTTTCTGACTTCATTACATATTTATCTGTGTGTTAATGGCGTCCCCGGTGGTCGCAGTCTCTCCCCACTCCAGCCGCACAAAAACACAGTGAACCCGAGAGAAGGCCCACGAGGATCACAGCTCATTAAGGAGAGGATGAATACTTTATCATGTATAATTCTTTCATAATTCTGTGCCATAATTTGCTTTGATTTGAAAGAAAACTAGTTCTTTAATACAGCTTTATTTGAATTTAATGAGGGCGATTTCAACAGGAGAAAGTTGGCTTAAGTTATAGATACAGAGTTATTTTAAGTTGAAGAAATGTATATGATGTTTTTAGCTTTTATAAAACATCTGTGATGTGTTTTGTTTTGTTGAGCTTCATTAATAATTGGTTTACTGAATAAAATGTGTTGAATTAAATGCAATTGTTTGCCAAAAGAATAGACTCTAAAATTACCATGTTTTGTATTTTTTGTCTTCCTTTTTTACCAACTAAATATATACTTTGTCATGTTTAATTTCTTTCGGAGGAAAGGCAGAAAGTGGTTGGAATAATTTACAAAGGCAGTCCCAAGTTTGTTGAATGACCTTTTGGCAAATGACATACTGCCACCACTCTGGCCGAGGTTCAGTCCCCGCTGTGAGCATGACTGGACTGAACTCCTCAGACTGGTGCTTTTAGTGAAGGAGGAAATATGGAAAATAGTAATGGTGCTGAAGACCAGACCAAAAGGTGTACTGCACAGTTCAACCATATCCAACTCAAATAGCTTTAATTAATAATCCATATTCTGTACCACTTAATGATAACTACACCTTATTTACCCTTGAAAAAACATGAACACCTGACTCACAATTCATACACACTTAATTAATAATGAATAAATAGTTCTCAGGCTTGATTAGTACTTAATTAAGAGCTTAGCAGTTAGGTTTCCGTAGTAGTTACTAACCCTCTATCATTACCCAATACCATTTACTTTTATTTTAGTACTGTACTTAAATGGATATTTGGAGTAATTCATCAAATTGAATAAACATTGTATGAGCACTTTTGGGGGGTATGTAAAAATAGACATGTATAAAGTGTATTTCTGGCACAGAGTGAGTGAAGTGTTTAGGGAAAGGGATTGTGGGTAGTGGAGGTGGAGGGGTGAATCCTGGCATTCAGTGGTTTAGGGCTGATTTGGACATGGAGTCATGTTGACTTGGCAGAGGCCCACTTCATTAGTGTCCTGATGCATTAGACCTGACTGAAGGAGGGAGGAGGAGGAGGGCAGGGGCAGAAAGATGGCCGACAAAAAAGAAAAACTCCCACAGAGAAAAGATATTGAGTGAAAAGTAGCTCCCTGACATCACTATTAGGCCATGACACAGACCAGGCCGGGGCGTGTGGCTGTGTAGCGATCGATCCAAGAGTTTTTCCCGTCAGCCTAAATCAGTCCAGGAATGACGGGGGTCTGCAGTGAGGGGTCCAAGTTTCACAACCCATTCCTATTTACCACCAATTTAGTTATTAAGTGCCTGGCTGTACTTTTGAATGTGAATGCTTGTGGCTGTGTGGTCCTCATTAGCCCCGGGACAGATTAGGGATTTTCAAGCATGTTTGCCTCTGGATTATGTTGGTATTACTCTATATATGACTAGCACTGCGCATAAAAGACGAGACGTGGGAGAGAAAAAATAACCAGAAACTCAAAGCTAAAAATGCTCTGGATTCCTGTAAATTGTCCGTCCCCCAGTAAAACATAAAGCCCTTGTGAATAAAATTGGAGCGATTTCATGGTTTGGCCTGCCCTCAATATTATTTAAGTAATACCCTGTTATTATTGAATAGAGGGGGAGTAAAACGAATGACTATTATCTTTATGTGGGTCCTTTAATTTTAATGCACCACAGATTTATAGCTGGGCATTCCAGTGGGAGGCCCCTCCCTGCTGTTAAAGCAGAGGGCGGGACACAACCACAGCGCTCTCACAACAGCCACGAGACCTCCGACAAACAAGTCCCCATGTTCTCTGTTCTCCTCCAACACTTCGCCTTGGCCACCATTATTGTCACTTATCAGACTACAAGCACGACTACTGCTCTAGTGCTCACATGTTTCTAAAAGGACTTTAACTATTATGCATGCTTATTTACTTTTCAACCTGCATGTCTTCTGTAGGTTAGTGAAATGTATGATTAAAATTAAAAGTATATTTTGAAGAAAAAAATACATACAGTATTCATGTGATCCAGCCACAAAAAACCCATATTGCAACTCTTTTTTTTTTTAAATGGTTGAGCTTTTTATTTCAAGTTGGTGTATATAATTTGATCAGGAATTTTAATAATCTATTAAGGGCCACAAAGTTCTTATCTTGAATCTTATCTGACCAAAATCTAAATAAGTCTAATTCTTTGCTTTAATAACTGGTGATAAATTCCAGTGTCCTCAGTCCCCCTCTCCACTTAGACCTATTAGTTTGGTATGGACCGGTTAAACAGTAATGGGGTGTCAAAAGCCCGTAAATGAGACACTTCCTGGCTGGCTGGTGGTTGGCGTTTCACTAGAGCTAATCTTATACACATTAGGTCAAAGGTAGAGTGGACAGAGGAGCCTTGGATCTGCTTAATAGACTGTGACAGTGTGCGGGCTGCAACACATTTCTCAACCTGCAGAGCTGTGTGGCTACTGTGTGACCAAGGCCACTGGGGTTGTAGGGTCCAATCTAGTGTCATACTACAATTTCAAACTCAATGTGGATATTAAGGAAAAGGCATGTTACTCAATACTGATTTTGTTACCCTGATGGCAATAAAAGATGACAATGCAATTAGCCTTTGTTAGGTCCTTAAGCAGGACACTTCACCCACATGAACGTGGTGTGCATGAGTCTTAGTGGTGGTTGTAGGGGCAGCCCTTCTTTCGTCAGTCTACCAGGGCAGCAGAAGTCTCTTTACCACCCAGTATGCAGTGAATGAAGAATGACTGCAGTGTAGTGCTTTTAGAGGCTTCAAAAAGCCTCAAGCAAGTAAGGCATAAAAATACATTTTTTTAGACAAGAGAACCATTTTAACCCAAAATAATAGAAGTTTCTTTAATATGGTCTAATGCTATTTTGGCTAAAAATATACATTATTATGCATAAATGGGACCCTAACCTACACCTGTTCAAGTGAGCATCTATTTTCAATATTAGTTTTAGTGCTGACTGATTCAAATTTGATCAAACCTAGCTCAATCATAAAATTGCTTTCAACAATGTGTGAATTGAAACAGTCTAAGTAATTGTGTAATGGTGATCAGGGGTCACTGTGCCCCATTAAATCAGCTCTTTCACCTGTCCCCCCAGGCCCTGCACCGGCCGCCCCCTGCCCCTCTGAAGGAGCACTGCCTGTCCCCCATGCGAGAGGAGCCCCTCTCTGCTCCTGTTAGCGACGAAGGGACACAGACAACAGTCACAGCACCACCGACCAACACAGGCGGCAATGCAGGAAGTAACAAGAAGCCCAGGTCACGCACTAAGGTAGTTATCATCAATAAAATGGAAATGGAAATTTTAATTACGGCAAAAAATTGAATGGCCCCAAAATTAGTAAAACTGAATAAGGGGGTTATCAAAGAAGTAATATCCATAGCTCCAAAGACAATGCACCAATATAAGTATTTTCTCTTGCCTTAATGTGAACAGTTGTTTCTTTTCTTGACTACACTTTCAATACAATACATTCTCATGAATAAACTTTTCTTTTTCATTATAATTTAGATTTCTCTCGAAGCCTTGGGGATTCTGCAGAGCTTCATCCAGGACGTGGGTTTGTATCCAGACCAGGAGGCCATCCACACTTTGTCCGCTCAACTGGACCTTCCCAAGCACACCATCATCAAGTTCTTCCAAAACCAGAGGTACCATGTCAAGCACCACGGTCGTCTCAAGGACCTGGGCGAAGGCGCTGCCAGCGGGGGAGTAGATGTTAGCGAATACCGGGAGGAGGAGCTGCTCTCTGGTTCAGAAGATCCAGAGTCCAGTGAAGATGGAGCAGAGGAGATGTACCAGTCCAATGACGCAAATGGTGGGAGTGCGGGAGGAGCACCAGCCTCAGCCAGCACCAACTCGAGTCAGTCATCCAGTGGAGCACAAGAGGAGAGCAAGGACCAGGGGCGACCAGGAGCAGCCATGGGTCCAAGCAGCTCTTCATCTAGTCCCAGAGAGCAAGGTGGCTCAGAGTCACCAACTGTTTTACAAAACCGATCTCATCCACAAGTACAGGAAGCAAATCGGTATCCACAGTTATCCCCATGTCAAATGAGGACCCGCTCCGAGCCCTTAGTATAAATTCCCAATCATCTCATTGAAAGAGCTTTATTTGTTTTGTCTTAAATCTGTCTTAAAGGCAGACATCATGACTGTTCATTGTGGTAAGAGTCAAGTGCTGTACGGACCCCAGATTAGACCAAGCACATTGCACAACCATTTCAGCACTTCACTTTGTTGCAGTCTTTTGTATTTCATTTACAAACAGATGGGGACTAGATGGTCAGGGGCACAGTACTGTACAGTGTCTACACTACCCTTCTAATTTATAATAACTCTGAACTAGGGACTAAAAAGGGAAACACTGCAAAAATAACTGAAATCCTTTTTGATAGTTACCAAAGCAAATCATTTGCCTTTTAACGGTGATTTGCATTAAAGTGGCATATATTTAGTCCTACCTTGCGCAACCTCCTATCTCCATTTATCCAGGCTTGGGACTAGAAAGATCTCATACACTACAGTAAATTAGAAATAGGTCCAAAAGTATCTAGAATAAAATGGTCTGTGAATACATGAAATTGAACTGTGGTGTTGTCAATACCTCAGAAGAGTTCAGCAGGTTTTGGAGGTTGTAACTGTGAGTTTAGACAACCGCTGCTCAAAAACTGACGCTGACAACTCTCCAGGCACTCCAACTCTACTGCAGCATGACACTAGATTTGGCCAATCATCTCAAGTGTGCACCTCACATGGGACACTTCACTATGCTTCAAGACTTAACTGGATTGTGGGACCAAATATTTGTATCCTTGGGAGAAGTGGAAATTGACTGTCCAGAAATCACTACTCCAACATTCTTACAGTCTCACTTCACAAACTGTTAATCAAGCATTTCGGGATGATACCCACTGAGTCATTAGAGAGGATTAAGACTCCTCTCTCTATATAAAAAACGTAAATGTTAAAATATGAGTTGGGCATTGGACTTGATATTGTTTTTAGTAATGTTGCCACCAGACCAGAGGCACTGCGAAGAGAAACTATGATGGACTGAACAAAGGACCAGAAGACAATCAAGTCACTTTATGTGCTAAACGCTTCACTATCCTTGACACTAAATGTTGTCCAGTCTTGTGTCTCACCTACACACTCTTAAACTTCACCTATTTATTGCTATCCATGAATATTATGATTGTTATATTGTTGATGTATTGTTATGATTAATGTCATTTCGTATTATGTTTTATTTCTATGGTCGGTTCAGTTAGACCAATGAGAGTTAAATGGACTGAAGCAGTTACTGACCTATTATTGCATTTTTATCATTTTGGTTAAGACTTTTAAAAAACTGAGCATCTGATGCCGACAATGACAATCTACTCTTTGAGCCATCCATGAAATGTGGCAGGTTGGACTTCACATTAAAATGTATGTAAATATCTATAATGGGATTTATTGTTTATACATTTTGCTCCGTGAAGTGTTTGAGCCAGTGAGAGTGCTGTTGATTTTGTTTCTCTTTTTTGACAGCTCAGTGGAAGATGAGGCATACCAAATCCAATCATGAGTGTTTAAAAGTAGTACAAACTGCTTACTGACTTAGTGTATATCTATGTACCAAACAATATCTGACATTGGGTAGTCATTTTGTCATGCTATCCTGATCGGCTGCTACACATAAAAACCTGCTTTTGAATAAATCAGTCAGATCACACCATACAACGTTATCATCTCCAAGACAGGAATCAGGGTTAAATGCAATTCCAATGAAATCTAGATTCATTCAGTGTTTAAGTGAATAAAAATTGTGAGTTTAAAAACGTTGTCTGTTGTCCTGTTTTCTAAAAACATTAACAGAAGAAGACCATTCTCTGAGCCATATTGTTTTGCTGTAATTGCTCCAATAACTCATGAAATCTAATGAGAGTAGGTGAAAGGGCCACATGAGCCCAAGATTAAGAATGAACAGTGTATTGAGTCACGCAATCTTTACTGCCATGCAATTCATGATGCTTAAAACACTAGTATAGAGAAGAGTACAGTATAGAAACATATCTGTTTGCTGTGAAGAAGGACTGCCAGAGTAGCATAACATTTATGATTTTAGAAAATGTTACTATATGAAGAGTTTATTTGCAAAAACAGATAAGTGCCATTTAAAAGTCATCAGAGGCTTGTAGTTTACTCTTGGCACATTTTTTAAAGCCAAATGTATTTTACTGCTTTTAAAGCATTATTCCATCCCTTATAAATTCCACTATACATTATCATCCTTGACAATATATCTATAAGATAGTAACAAAAAGAAAACAACTTTCTTTCTTTTTTTCCCTTTTTATTTATTTATTTTTTTGAAACAGTGATATCTGTTTTTGCTATTGAACTCTTCATATTTTTGTCCTTACAGAAAGACATGATTAAATGTGTCTGGCAACTACCTGCATGAAACAGATCTAAAATGTGGTATAAAACATAGTAAAAAACACTAAAGAATAAGGCCATCTCGGGACAGTCATAAGCAGAGATACTGCGCACTTCCTCCCATTTGCACTAATGAACTTGGCGTGTGATGAGGCGTATCAAAACTCACTATTTAACCTGTCTCTCGAGGTCTGGCTAGCATTTTGTGACCGAGACTGTTGATTGTATGAAATGAAGTATAGGGTGTAAGCATAAATCATGGAGTACTTATCTATTTCAATTCCACTGTATTTAGTGGAAGTCTGGGAGTCCCCTGCTTAGATTTCTGCCCCTGTGATCTGAACAAAGATAAGCAAAAGAAGATGGAAATATGTATTTAGTGGCAAGAAGCAATATGTTTGTGCCAGTTGTAGTAAAGTAACAGTAATGAAGTATTAGTAGTAGTAGTAACATTTATTCACTAATCACTAATATTTACTTGTTCTGTATATATTGTATATTTTGCAGTTGTGTTTGAAGCATTTGAAGAACTTCTCTCATTTTTTTTGCCTAGAAATATGCCACACGACATTGCACAACTCATTATTTAGTGTGCTTACATACAATGACTATGACAAATAAGTTTTCCCTTTGAACATTTCTACTCTAAAGTCTAACGGCCTTGTCACTGAGAAAGATGTGGCCACATGAACCAAATATTGCTCCATTTGTTCGTGTACACAATCAAAAACAACCCAGAATGGAAAAACACCTCCCAACGCTGTGTTTGGGAAGAGTTTACTGGAAGTCACTGATGACAGTGTTTTCTCTATTGTTTGTTTGTATAAGCAATATGCTCTAAAAGTAATGGAGAGGTGCAGGCTGCCACAGTGGTAACTTTGTCTATGAATAAGTTCTGATTGAAGTCAACATAAATCAAGTTTGGGAGACTATTATGCAAAGTGAAGCTAATAAGTGGCCAACAACACAATCTGAATTTCAATCTTTGTCTCACCTGCCAGAAAACTCCACTGGAAATTGGATTGCAACAGAGGTCTCCATGGAGTGAATTAAAGAATAAACTTCATCAAATCGTGGCTTGGCTTCTTCAAAATTGATAAACACATGGAAATGCATCTTTGCTTTAATGGTCAAAACTCATCAACCTAAAAGCAATCAACAGTATTATGTAAAGCAAAGTTTTTAATACAACAATCTGTATGGAAATGCTTCTCCTTGCTGCATAATCTCAAGATGACAACAGATCACAGACATATTTCATCTGCTATGACAGTTCCTGTAATAGCATTTACAGTCCCAGTCTGTTTTATACAAACTTCTTCTCATTATGCTAAATAAAAGGCATATTAAATCCATAAATATGAGCACGTTACGGGAATATTGGCATGTTTCATGCCACAAGCTTGGCTCCTTTATGCCCAGCACACAGCCTGTGTGTTGCACTGTTTGGTGGAAAAGCACCTCTGGTTTTCATTGTGTACCAGCCGGTCCCTCTCGCCCTCACCTCATCCCTAAATCTCCTAATTCAACTCATTATTCGCTCAATTGGTGGGCTCTAACCCCTCCCGCCTCGGGCCCAAAGAGCTGGTAGTCATTAGCAAAGCGCTAACGCTTACAGACGCGTGCACACTCAAACACAAAGTGCTCCAGGAGCCGGCCGGGTGTCACTAGAAATCATCCAAATCCGTCCTCAAGTAAAGTCACTGTTTCAAAAATAAATATCTAACATCTCAGGAGAACATATGGCTCGGGTATATATATTTAATTGGCTTTTTTATTCAACAGACTGCATATTTAATCCATATGATGAATGAAATAGGCTCATAACCAAAAACATTACTATTTCCTCTGCTACTATTGTAACTACTATTGCAAATGGCACAGTTCGTACAGCGATTTATTAATTCCCCATATTTTCCAAACGAAGAACTTGCAGTAAGCTGAATAACCTGAGTATTCCAGTTACAGTGCAGCAGTAGAGCACGGCCCTCTGTGCTACGTCACTGGTTGGATGGGGCCGGTTAGGACAGATGTGCAGACAGACAGACAGTAATGTGCGGCAGGACCACCCACAGACCTGCGGTGCCGAGGCAGCGCACTGGGGCTCAGCCTGGGACACATCCTGCCTACAGAGGGCTCTAAATGGGATCTTTGACCTGATAGTGTCATTGCATAATGTCAGTTCGCTTAAAGATGTTTATATTAATTAATTATTTTTAAGTGCAGTTAGGTTTATTTTTCAGCGTTAAAGTTTTAGACTTTTTAGAGTCTAATATACTTGAAGTTTTTCATCTAATATACTTTACAGTCTTAATCATTTTTACAATGAACACGTATTTGTGGGTCCCAGCTTCCTAATACTGTGCAATTTAATGGTGGTTAACCATTCAAAAGATGTAATATTTTGTTTTCAGTTGTTAATTACTATGGCAACGGTCGTAATTTCATAATTTCATAATTTTGAAACACATGGATATGATGATGGTGTTAATTACTGCATGACCTATATTAAATTATTACTAAAATTGGTACATATAATAAGGAATGTGTTAAAAATAATTGTCCTGTCCATGTAACATTGATGCGTGGTCAGCCAGAAGAGTGATGGCTTGTTCTATTTGAAACCCAAGAAATAAAATATACAATTGTGGGATTTCAAAGATGGGATTTTGTACACCACTACAGAGCCGTTCCCACAAACTTCAGCATGTTTTTGTCACAACCTTCTTTGAGACGGAGAAGTTTGTCCAGTCCTCTGATTAAATGCTTGAATTACATCAATGTTATTCCACATAAAAAGTCACTGTAGCAAATAAACACGACAAACAAAGGGGAAATATAAATAGGGCAATAGTGAAGGTTAAAATCATGAGAACAAAAGAACAGACCACCACCAAGACAATAGCCGTTTCTATGGTAATAATAAACTACATGACCTGGATTCAAACTAGGATCAACAAGTTCAGGCACCAAAGCTACATCTTATAATATTTGACCTATTTGTGTGTTTTCATTATTCCAGGATCAAAATTGCGTTGATTTTCAACCTTATTCTGTTCACATTACTAAACTGACTGATACCGAATGTCTTTGTTTTCTTACATAAACCTAAATCATGTATTCCATGTTCGTTTCAGGTGTTTTTCATATTAGGCTAAGCTGACTGAGTATAGTTAAGTGAGTAGGATGTAGTCAGACAAATTGCTTCAGCATAAGGCTGTGCTTTTAATCAAAATTCAATTGACTTGATTTCCAATGATCAGCTTGGGAAATTTTAATCGCCATGTATACAAGCAGTCCTAAATGAAGAGGAGTTCAGACATAAATGAAATCTATATATTTATTTGTTTTCCATATGAAAAAAGTATGATAAAACAGAAAATCAGCATCAATCTGGTGCCCAGAGTCAGGACTAAACATGGGAAATCAGCATTTCAGTTTTATGCAGCTAAAATCTGGAACAGTCTTCCTGAAGATGTGAGACAGACCTCTACTTTGACAATGTTAAAATCCAGGTGCAAAACAGCTCTGTTTAACTGTACAGGTTTTTATTCCATTCTCTTCTCTCTTGTCTTTTAATACTAATATTATGATGATTGTTTATGTTTATATTTGATTGGATTGTGATTTGAATGCGTTTTTTTATTCTTTAACACTTTGTGTATGAATTGTGCTATACAAATAAATTCACGTTGCCTCTTGCCTTTCCTATTTAGTCTTTTTAAAAGCAAATAAGTAAATCTCTCCAACAACAAAAAGTTACATTTACTTTGCTTCAGTCCCCTTTCCTGCTGTGTCCTCATGTCTGGGAATTCCTAAATAACAATAAACAGATCATGAATGTGTTTTGTATTTTTTGGCCAATGCCCTTGTTTGTTTGTGCCCTGTGCTGAGTGAGGGGAGAGATTGACAGGTGTGTGGACCCCCGAGCCCCTCCAACAGCTGTGAGGGCACCACTGCAGGGTATTAGGCCTGATAGAGCCATGATTAGAGAACATTAGAGGTGAAGAGGGGGGAGACAGGCCACAGCTGTTGTTGCTAACTATTATTACCCACAATGCATCTCTGAGGGGAGGCTCTCGCTGCACTGCACTCACACCTGTGGCCTCCTGCTGTGGTCAGGGACATGATACCAACCACTGAGACGCATGTGTCACCAGTATATAACATAGGTATTTCTAATAGTTTACAAGCATGTGACTGCATTTTTATTATAGGGCTCACATTCCGCTATTTTCTGATCTATGTTATTATGTTGCTTCCTCATCAAAAACACACCCAGAGTTTTGTTTTGTTTCATTCACACACAAATCCTGCATATTTAGGCTATGTTCTTCTCTCAAACAGAAA